TTTTTTTGGAAAAGTTCAATAAGTAGATGGAAAACGGTAAACTTGTATATATGTGGACTTATGTATTGAAAAGAAATGTGGAATAAAAGCTGCCCTGTTGAAGTATCCCTCTTATTTTGAAGTGGTACAGTCATTCTAACAGAAATGTGTAAGGCTTTCGGTGTCAGACACTTCATTTTTTTATTATTATTTTATTTATTTTTAGCTGTAAAAAAAACAATCCATTATGCTTAATAAATAGCTTATTTCAGCACTGAAAAATAAGGTGGATATGAGAGCAATTTGTGTGAGTGCAGATAAACAAGTCTGAAATACTAAGGTTTTTTTTTTTTGTTAAGTTTTTTTTTTCTCAAAACATTTTACTGGATGAAAAGTAACGTACATCTCTTTAGGCTCACACTGTCTGTTGAAAAGAAATTTGACCAATAAAAGCAAAATGACAACAAAAACATATATGCTACCAAGTTAGGAGGCCTTAATCCAGCACATAATTGCTGTTGTGCTGCTTAAAAACCTTTAACATTGCAAGAACATTCGTCAATATAACATTTCAGGCTCCCAAACTAAGCAACACTGTACTTACAGGAGTTCTTCTGCTGACTGCTATTGGGTTCACTTACAGTTTTGATGAGTCTGTATTTATTCCCAGCATACATCTAACATAGACTTGGGAGATTGAAAAAAATCTAGGCCCTTTCAGTTTGAGAACACACAAAGATTAATGGTTGAGTTTCAGTCTTTCACAATAACTTAAATAAATGCCCCTAATAAACAGCCCCTTACACTCAATCATTTGTAATCAGAAGCTTGATTATGGTGGTTCTAAACACTAATTGGACTATTGCTGACTTTACATCTTAGCATTAGCATCAGTTTCTTGTACCAAGAACAATCTGCAATGTACACTGCAAACATAAACAATGCAAGCCATACATTACACATATGCTCAACAGCCATCGAAAACTTGTTGCATTTTCGCTTTATAATTAGAGAGTTTTCACATTAATAGGCTTTCAACTTACAAGTACAGTTATAACTAATCAGCTTGTAGTACTAGTTTGACTTTGTAAAAGTGTTACACCAGAAAATACTGCAGGAATCTATGCTGTCAAGATGAA